TGTTTAGTCCTGGTTTGGCCCTGGTTTAGTTTTATTTTAGTCCTGATATACTGTTGGTTTAGCCCTGATTTCAGTCCTGGTTCAGTCCCGGTTTAACCCTGGTTTAGTTTTGGTTTAAACCTGCTTTAGTCCGATTTAGTCCTGATTTAGTTTCGCTTTAGTCCAGGTTTACTCCTAGTTTAGCTCTGATTTAGTCCTGGTTTAGTCCTGGTTTCACCTTGGTTTAACCCCCGCAAAAAAAAAAACACCTTCTTATTTTCTTTTTCACATTTCCCGTGTAAACTCCAGTCGTCTCCTCCTCATCATCACCTTCATCACAACAACACTCAGTCACTCGGCCGTCGTATCGGAGCCGCGTATTGGCTTTTGATTCGTCGCTGCAAGGAATCGTGGGTAAACAGTCGGTCTGGAGCCTCACACAGAGACGCCGTACACTGTATTGTCTAAGATCAGCATGCAGGCGAGTTGGTTGGACCCTGGTGTCTGAGCTAAAAATAAACTCGAAAAAGAGGAGAGGAGAGAGAAAGAGAGAGAGAGAGAGAAAGAGAGAAAGAGAGGGAGGATCGTTCTCTATCTCGGTGCATATCTCTGCTTTTGTGCACCGTCTTTGTGTCTCAAACCTCCAGCAAAACATCATTACCATTCACAGGGTCTTTTGGTTTTTTTAATAGTTTTTAGCTCGTATCGCAGGTTCACATCAGGTCCTGGTTTAGTCCTGGTTTAGTCCTGCTCTACTCTCGATTTAGACCTGGTTTAGTCCTGGTTTAGTCCTAATTTAAACCTGGTTTACCTGTTTAAACCTGGTTTAGTCCTGGTTTAGTCCCTGGTTTAGTCCTCCTTTTAAAGTTTAGTCCTGGTTTATTTATACCTGGTTTATCTGGTTTAGTCCTGGTTTAGTTTAGTCCTGGTTTAGTTTCCTGGTTTAGTCCTTAGACCTTTAGAGACCTGTCCTGTTTAGTCCTGGTTTAGTCCTGTTTAGTTTCCTGGTTTAGAGACCTGGTTTAGTCCTGCTTTAGAGTTTACCTGGTTTAGAGTTTAGCTTTAGAGACCTGGTTTAGTCCTGCTTTAGAGACCTGGTTTAGAGACCTGGTTTTTTTAGTCCTGCTTTAGAGACCTGGTTTAGTCCTGGTTTAGTCCTGCTTTAGAGACCTGGTTTAGTCCTGGTTTAGTCCTGCTTTAGAGACCTGGTTTAGTCCTGCTTTAGAGACCTGGTTTAGTCCTGGTTTAGTCCTGCTTTAGAGACCTGGTTTAGTCCTGGTTTAGTTCCAGTTTCTGTGGGTTTTTCAGGTCTGCAGCAGTGACCTGTATCTATCACAGATGCTTTATAATAGTCCTGGTTTAGACCTGGTTTAGTCTTGGTTTTTACCCTGGGTTTAGACTTGATTTAATCCTACTTTGGAGCTGATCTAGTCCTGGTTTAGTCCTGGTTTCGTCCTGGTTTCGTCCTGGTTTCGTCCTGGTCAGTATCCAATCATATTAATGACACTACATAACATAACACCCCCTCTCTTCTTCTTCTTCTGTTGTAGTCTTTGTTTAAACCAAACCCAATGATCCATATCCTACTTTCTCGTTTAATTACATGCAGCCATATGTTAATTAAGCTGTAGATGTGTGTTTGGAGAAGAGCCGCCGCCCGATTTACCACAAAAAACACAAACTAAACACAAGAAAACAATTAATTACCAACAGTGAGTGATGGATTGTTTTGATTTTTTTTATTTTTGCTTTGAACCTGTCAGACGAGCGGAAAATTATGAAAATATGAAGTTTAATTATACTGCTGTGATGCAGGTTTAAAACACAAAGACAAACCAGGACTAAACCAGGACTAAACCAGGACTAAACCAGGACTAAACCAGGTCTAAACCAGGACTAAACCAGGACTAAACCAGGACTAAACCAGGACTAAACCAGGACTAAACCAGGACTAAACCAGGACTAAACCAGGACTAAACAGGCTAAACTAAACCAGGACTAAACCAGGACTAAACCAGGACTAAACCAGGACTAAACCAGGACTAAACCAAGACTAAACCAGGACTAAACCAAGACTAAACCAGACTAAACCAAGGACTAAACCAGGACTAAACCAGGACTCTAAACCAGGACTAAACCAGGACTCCTAAACCAAGGACTAAACCAAGGACTAAACCAGGACTAAACCAAGACTAAACCAGGACTAAAATAAACCAGGACTAAACCAGGACTAAACCAGGTCCAAACCAAGGACTAAACCAGGGACTAAACCAAGGACTAACCAGGGACTAAACCAGGACTAAACCAAGGACTAAACCAGGACTAAACCAAGGACTAAACCAGGACTAAACCAGAACTCTAAACCAGGACTAAACCAGACTAAACCCAAACCAAGGACTAAACCAGGACTAAACCAGGGCTAAACCAGGACTAAAACCAGGACTAAACCAGGACTAAACCCTAAACCAAGGACTAAACCAGGGACTAAACCAGGGCTAAACCAGGACTAAACCAGGTCCAAACCAAGGACTAAACCAGGACTAAACCAGGACTAAACCGGGGCTAAACCAAGGACTAAACCAAGGACAAAACCAGGGCTAATCCAGGTCTAAACCAGGACTAAACCAGGTCCAAACCAAGGAGTAAACCAGACTAAACCAGGGCTAAACCAGAACTGAACCCGGTCTAAATCAAGAACTAAACCAGGACTAAACCAGGAATGAACCAGGATTAAATGAAGGACTAAACCTTGACTAATCCAGGACTAAACCAAGGACTAAACCAGATCTAAACCAGAACTAAACCAGGACTAAACCAAGGACTAAACTAGGACTGAACCAAGGACTAAACCAAGGACTAAACCAGGTCTAAACTAAGAAGGACTAAACCAGGACTAAACCAGGAACTAAACCAGGTCTAAACCAAGGTTCTTAACCAGGACTAAACCAAGGACTAAACCAGGCAAGGACTAAACCAAGGACTAAACCAGGACTAAACCAGGTCTAAACCAAGGTCTTAACCAGGTCTAAACCAAGGACTAAACCAGGACTAAACCAAGGACTAAACTAGGACTGAACCAAGGACTAAACCAAGGACTAAACCAGAACTAACCAAGGACTAAACCAGGTCTAAATCAAGGACTAAACCAGGACTAAACCAGGTCTTAACCAGGTCTAAACCAAGGTCTTAACCAGGTCTAAACCAAGGACTAAACCAGGTCTAAATCAAGGACTAAACCAGGACTAAACCAGGTCTTAACCAGGTCTAAACCAAGGTCTTAACCAGGTCTAAACCAAGGACTAAACCAGGTCTAAACCAGATCTAAACCAGAACTAAACCAAGACTAAACCAGGTCCAAACCAGGACTAAACCAGACATAACCCAGCACTGCACATTTTCATTTCTGTCTCTGGTTTTCATCAAATAATTATTTTCAGAAAGTTTTTTTTTTAAACTTTCTCGTAGAATAAATCAATAATGTTTTTGAGCTGGAGCTTGGATCTTGTCCCCGCTCATCTTTGCAGTTTAAATTTTAATTAAAGAAATATCTGCACAAACCTCTGGCCATAGTTTTTTTTTTTTTAAAGTCTGCGTCTAATTACTTTATATTTTACTTCAGCTGCAAAAATAACGTTATATAAGTCGAACAAGTGAGTCTCTGTAAAACTCCATGGAGATGTGACGTGTTTTTGTTTCTTCATTTTGTTTTGTCTGATTTACTTTTGCACGAATTTACCCACAATGCACCGTTTCTGCGTGAGACGGATCGTGTGAGAGGCAGGAGCTACAGTGACCTTTAGAAACGCAGGATTTGCTCCAGTGAAATGTCAAAAAGGATTTAAATAAAGACGTTTAATTCATCTCAGTTTTGTTAATACGACACTGTACCGGGAAATACAGAAATACAGACGGAGTTTTCAGAGTTTTATTCTGTTTCTGACGTGTTAAAGATGAACTATGGAACTTTTCTCTTGGGGGTTTGCTGCCTGTTTGTCTCCATGGTGATGTGATAACTAAAACAGGAATAAACTAAGACTAAATTAAGGCTAAGTTAGGACTAAATTAGGGGTAAACTAGGACCAAACTAGGACTAACTCAGATATAAAACTAGGCCTAAACCAGGACTAAACCAAGACTAAATTAGGGCTAAACCAGGACAAATTCAGGTAGAAAACAGGACTAAACAAGGACTTAACTCGGTCTAAACCAAGACTAAACTAGGTCTAACCGAGAATTTACCCATGACTAAACCTGGTCAAATCCAGGACTAAACCAGGACTAAACCAGCTCTAAACCAGGACTAAACCAGGTCTAAACCAGGTCTAACCCAGGAATAAACCAGCTCTAAACCAGGTCTAAACCAGGACTAGGTCTAAACCAGGACTAAACCAGGTCTAAACCAGGACCAGCTCTAAACCAGGTCTAAACCAGGACTAGGTCTAAATCAGGACTAAACCAGGTCTAAACCAGGACCAGGTCTAAACCAGGACTAAACAAAGACTAAACAGGTCTAACCCAGGACTAAACCAGGTCTACACCAGATCTAAACCAGGACTAAATTAGGGCTAAACCAGGACTGAACCAGGACTAAACCAGGATTAACTCAGGTATAAAACCAGGACTAAACAAGGACTTAACTCGGTCTAAACCAGGTATAAACCAAGACTAAACTATGTCTAACCGAGGACTAAACCAGGACTAAACAGGTTTAACCCAGGACTAACCCAGGACTAAACCAGGGCCAAACCAGGGCTAAACCAGGACTAAATTAGGGTTAAACCAGGACTAAACTAGGACTAACCAAGGACTAAACCAGGACTAAACCAGGACTAAACCAGGACTAAACCAGGACTAGACCATGTCAAAACCAGGACTAAAAGGTCTAAAAGGACCAGGACTAAACCAGGACTAAACCAGGACTAAACCAGGACTAAACCATGTCCAAACCAGATCTAAACCAGGACCCAGTTTTTATTAATTCATTTCACTAATAACACTTGTTTTATTGTTTTTTCTCGCAGCTGTCTCGATCATGCGACACAGCGCTTCTGCTTTTGGATTTGCTGTAAGTACAACTCATTATTCACTATAAATCATCACTATTACAGTAATATTCATTGTTAATTAATATGTATTTATGTATTTATTTATATTATTTTCCCAGTTTGATGCCATTCTGGACGTGCTTTCCTCTGTCATCGTTTTGTGGCGATACAGTAACGCAGCTGCAGTCCACTCGGCCCACAGGGAATACATGTGAGTACTGCTTATGTTAATAGATACTCTGCAGCGGATGTGGGGAGGAGGCGCTAACTAGAAGCACTGCTCTGTCTGAAGCTCCGTTAGATTTGTACTGTTGCATTAAAGTTACAACAGTTTTTCTCTCTCGCCGTGCTGTAAATGTGCTGAGAATGTGCTGTTTAATCTATTTTGTTTGGTTTTTTTCTTGAGTTTTTACACGTCTTAAAACTTATTTGGCAGATTGTGTGCATTGTGTCACCATGGTAACGGCTGAATATTGCATTTTCTTTCACAAATTGACATCTTAAAACTAAACCTATTCTAAACCAGGTCTAAACCCGGTCTAAACCAGGTCTAAAGTAGGTCTAAATCAGGTCTTAACTAGGTCTAAACCAGGTCTAAATCAGGTCTTAACTAGGTCTAAACCAGGTCTAAATCAGGTCTAAACCCAGTTTAAACCAGGTCTGAACCAGGTCTAAACCCAGCGTAAATCAGGTCTAAATCTAGCCCAGAACTGGTCTAAATCAGGTCTAAATCAGGTCTTAACTAGGTCTAAACCAGGTCTAAATCAGGTCTAAACCCAGTTTAAACCAGGTCTAAACCAGCTCTAAACCCAGCGTAAATCAGGTCTAAATCTAGCCCAGAACTGGTCTAAATCAGGTCTAAATCAGGTCTAAACCAGGTCTAAACCAGGTCTAAACCAGGTCTAAACTAGGTCTAAACCAACTCTAAACCCAGTGTAAATCAGGTCTAAATCTAGCCCAAAACTGGTCTAAGTCAGATCTAAACTAGGTCTAAATTGGGTCTAAACCAGGTCTAAATCAGGTCTAAACCAGGTCTAAATCGGGTCTAAATCGGGTCTAAATCGGGTCTAAACCAAGTCTAAATCGGGTCTAAATCGGGTCTAAACCAGGTCTAAACCAGGTCTAAACCAGGTCTAAACCAGGTCTAAATCGGGTCTAAATTGGGTCTAAATTGGGTCTAAACCAGGTCTAAACCAGGTCTAAATCAGGTCTAAACCAGGTCTAAATCGGGTCTACACCAGGTCTAAATCGGGTCTAAACCAGGTCTAAACCAGGTCTAAACCAGGTCTAAACCAGGTCTAAACCAGGTCTAAATCAGGTCTAAACCAGGTCTAAAGGTCTAAACCAGGTCTAAATCAGGTCTAAACCAGGTCTAAATCAGGTCTAAACCAGGTCTAAACCAGGTCTAAACCAGGTCTAAATCAGGTCTAAACCAGGTCTAAATGGTCTAAACCAGGTCTAAATCAGGTCTAAACCAGGTCTAAATCGGGTCTAAACCAGGTCTAAACCAGGTCTTATCAAGGACCAAACTGACTGTAATCGTGGACTAATCCAGGTCTAAAGTTTAGATCAGGTTTGAAATGAACAAACTCAAATTATATTCTGTCTATTTGGAGTAAATCAAGAGAGATGTGGAGAGAGGAATGGAAAGTGAGAGGTGGGAGAGGAAGAGAGAGAAAAAGTGGGAGGAGAAAGAGAGGAAGAGAGGAGGGAGAAGGAAAGATAGAGTCAGCAGAAAAAGGAAAAGGAAAGAAAGATGGTGAGAGAGAGAGGAGAGGGAAGAGGAGAGACAGAAATAGCAAGAGAGAGACAAGTGGGAGAGAAAAAAAAGAGAAAAAGCGCAAGCGAGAAAACGAGACAGAGATGGAAAGAGGGCGCACTCAGGTGGACTCGGGTCAGGTACTTTTGTGCAGCTGCTGAATGGGACCCAAGGCTGTGAGGAAGAACTGAAAGAGAAAAAAAAGAGAGGCAGAGACGGAGAGAGAGACGGAGAGAGTCTGAAAACACCTCAGTGAAGTCTGGAGCTGTTCTCGATGTTAGTTTGAATCGATTTATTTGAGTTTGAATTTACTGTAGGACAAAAACAGAGTTGCTCAGATGGTGTCGGCTTTAAGCTTCAAGTAGAAACAGACGACACTGAAATAAAAAGATCATGATAATTAGGAGCACATATCCAAGTGGCCTGGGTCACATTTGAAAAAAATCGAATTTACGTCATCTGTCTGTGTCACTTCGGGCTGCAGTTTGAATGTAGTCTTAAGGTACGTTCAGGCTGCAGGGCTTAACGCTCAATTTGGATTTTTTTGTGAAATCTGATGTTTTTGCGAGGTCGTTCACATTTCCAATTAAATGTGACTTGTATGTGACTCCAGTGTGAACATTAAACGGCCCAAAAGCGTCCCGCATGTGCACTGGAGACACAACGACGTCAACCGCAGCGAGCGTGCTCTGTGTTTACGGAAGTTGTCCAAACATGGACGCAGCATCGAGCACCTGGAGATTTTAAAGTTCCTCTCGTACCGGAGCCAGAACATGAACAACTTACTTGTTTTAAGGAGGAGATTGAGAAGGAGAAGGACGAGGTTTTTGGTCGTGGTGTTTTGTGGTTCAGTCTGTTGAAAGGAACGTGTGGATGTGGAGACGTAGCCAAGAGTGGTGAGTGGTGATGTGCTTCGCTTCAGTGACATGGAGTTCATTAACAATTTTCGCCGACTTCAGTGCAGAATCGTGACGTTTGTGTCTTGTTGATAAAGTGTAGGTGGATGAATGCGCTTTGGTCGTTCAGATTGAAGTCACATGTCAAAAGATCGGATATGTATCGGTTTTAGGAGCACATATCGAAGTGGCCTGGGTCACATTTGAAAAAATCGGATCTGTGTCGTTCAGACTGTCATTAAAAGATCAGACACAGGAGCATAGGGGACAAAAAAATCGGATTTGGGTCACTTCAGGCTGCAGTGTGAACGTAGCCTAAGTAGGTTTTTGAGGAGATAACAACTTTATAACATGACTTAAAGCTCACAAGAGTCCATTTTATGTAATATAGCTCCTCTAAGTCTAAAATACAGTATGTCTTAAAGTGCCCATCTCATGCAAAATAACTCTTTTGACATTGTATCTTCTGCACATAAACAAGCACAATTTGGGTTTTGGAACATCCATTACACAATAGTTATGAAATCTTACTGATTTCTTGGAGTCACAGACCAGGAACTATGAAAGACCGACTATTGCTCCTCCCCCCGCCCGTCCTGAGAAAGCACAGGCTCCGCCCTCCAAACGTGACGTAGACTCTGAGTGAGCCGCCCTTCCTCCGCCGTCTCAGGGAGGGAGGGGGAGACAGACGTGCGCCCTGATAGTGGTAGGAATAAACTTTTATTCATCTTGGTGATACAGCGCGTTCAGCCGCATGTGTTGGACCCAGAATCGGACGAGGACTTGGAGGAGCACGAAGAGCAAACACCGCGTCGACATCAGCTGAACTTTACTGATTGGTAAAGTATTAATAAACGTTAGTAGATAAACTTATTATATCGTATTCAGTGGCAGGATGGAGGCGGTGGAGCTTTCTGCTACGTTAAATGCGTCATAGGTGTAGCTGCCGCGTCATCGTTGTAGCAGCTTTAGTTCGTCGTCATGTGGGAGGGTGGCAGGAATACGCTGCAATTTGTTAAAAAAAAAAAAGCAGAATCAATCTAAAAATCACTTCATCGACATATACAAGGCCCACACATCACTCTTAGAAGGTAAAAAGCTCTGAAAAGTTGATTTTGCACGAGATGGGCCCTTTAATATTATTCAAGTTGCCCAAATGATGTGTCCAGTCAGTATTCGTCAGGCTCATTTATTTATTTGTCACACCGTTCTTTCTTTAATTGAAATGAGTCCGTTTTTGTTCAGAAGTCAGAGTATGTGTGAATGAATGGACTGTGTTTCAAAAGCGTTTCACAATGAACCTGTGTACGAAGTGAATCACAGCGAGGAGGACATCTTTTATTTACCAAGACTGCTCTATATTTAGCTCCTGACTGTTACTGTGCATTTTTCTCATTTGAATAATACATAAGACACAAGCGTACTGAAGCTACACGCTGTACTTAACGATAATAATCTTATTCTGAAGGCTCATTATAACGCAAATATGACAGGACTTCGTAGGGATGTAACAATAACTGAAATATCATTGTATCGTATCATGAAAAGTCTCACAATAATATATCAAAATTCATTGTTTTGGTGCAGCAATAGCTAAAAAAAACCTGAGTGAACTACATATCCCATGATCCTTTGCTCCATTACAGCGCAGACTACATGAAAAATAATACAAATAATAGTAATAATCATAATTTCTATACATAAGGGCGAGTTGTTGTTAGTTGTAGGGAGTATTATCTGTTACATAAGTTTGAATTGTTGTACAGTTGTAGGGAGTATTATCTGTTACATAAGTTTGAATTGTTGTACAGTTGTAGGGAGTATTATCTGTTACATAAGTTTGAGTTATTGTACAGTTGTAGGGAGTATTATCTGCCACATAAGGGTGAGTTGTTGTACAGTTGTAGGGAGTATTATCTGCCACATAAGGTGAGTTGTTGTACAGTTGTAGGGAGTATTATCTGTTCACATAAGGCTGAGTTGTTGTACAGTTGTAGGGAGTATTATCTGTTACATAAGTTTGAGTTATTGTACAGTTGTAGGGAGTATTATCGGTTACATAAGGCTGAGTTGTTGTACAGTTGTAGGGAGTATTATCTGTTACATAAGGTTTGAATTGTTGTACAGTTGTAGGGAGTATTATCTGTTACATAAGTTTGAGTTATTGTACAGTTGTAGGGAGTATTATCTGGTTACATAAGGCTGAGTTGTTGTACAGTTGTAGGGAGTATTATCTGTCACATAAGGCTGAGTTGTTGTACAGTTGTAGGGAGTATTATCTGTCACATAAGGGTGAGTCGTTGTACAGTTGTAGGGAGTATTATAGTATGAATGAAGTCCTGTATGTCTCACTGTTTGTGCTGAGCTGTATTAAAAGTTTAGGAGTTAAGGTTAGGGTACTTAAAGGTGCATTGTGTAACTTTTCTGGTTATGGAGGGGGCTACTACCTGCCTTTTTCCACTGATACGCTTTGCTTATAAAGTTCCACAGCACGGCATTAAACTTATCTTGCATTTATTCACACGTACATGTTAAAAAAGTTGTGAAAAGTGCTTA